ATTAAGGATCAAGTTCTTCTCCATTCTAAGGGAATTTTACAATGTCACATGGTATGTAAGGTAAGAGAAAGTCAGTGCAATACCATGCCTTAGGATCAGGCTAAGTCAACCAGCTCACTTGCCTACTGTAGTGCACATTTGTTGCTCTTGTCTGTATAGGATCCTTTCTCCAGACCTTCCTCTGGGGATCCACCCTTGCCCCACCTTCGTCCCCATGGTTTGGTGGGGCTGGCCCTTCCCCCAGCTATAGGAACGGACATGTCCAATGTCAACCAGTGCCTTTCATCCCCCGACCCAGAGACTGAATCAGCAAAGGACCAGTGGTGATCAAGCCTAGGAATTTGTTGTTCAGGGGACAGGTACTCTCCTTTCACTAAATCTGCAGTTATGGGGATATGAACCTGGGGGTACTAGCATCCATCTTGCTGCCAGGAGGAAATACTTACCTAGGTGTAGAGCCACCCCAGAGGAGGGCAGAGAGACAGATAAGAAGAGATAGGGTTCTGGATTCAGCTGTGCCTGAAACCAGAGATGTGAAATAAATTTCCTTTTTTGCTCATGTAAGTTTGAATTGGGTTTTCTGTCACTTGCAACCAAAAGAATCTTCAATGGTCCATCCTGTCTGGATCTTTGGTATCTGAAACTTTAAAATAAGAATGTTGAAAAACAGTGTTTCTCAGTGTGGGCACTATTGGCCTTCCAGGTAGGACAATTCTTTACTGTGCAAACTCTCCTGGACATTCATTTTTGCCCCTTCCCACTAAATGCCAGAAGCACCCCTCAGTCTTTATGTCAACCAAGCATCCACTACCTGTCCCACTACGTAGACACACACACACACACACACACACACACTTCCCAATGCCCCCTAGGGAGGTGTACTACCCTCAGCTGAAAACCAATAAACTATGAAATCTCTAAAGCTCCTTCTAAGCTGAAATAAGCCAGGTCAGGTATCAGAAATAAAGTTCTCTAGAGACTGGTCTTAGCAGCAACTGAGAATAATTTAATCTCTGTGTTCACTTCTTGGTAAAACGAGGACACTAACATGTAGCAATCTGGATAAACCTATCCAAGGATTATCTCAATAAATTACTTGATATGAAATAACTCTAGCATAACCTAAAATGGATCCTTAACATGCCCAAGGGAGGTACCCTAAATGTTTTTGAATACCATTGTTGCATATTATTTCCCAGTGTTATTACAAGGGAGGCTAGAGAACAACAGTGAAACTGATGGCTGGTGGTCAGCTATGCTCATTCACATCTCCACGCCAATCTCTTACCTCTCATAATTTACTACGTGTCATTCTTTCTTGGTCAAAACCACAAGTGTTAAATCCACGAATGCCAAGAACCTCCTGTAGCACATAGTGCTAAGTGTAAGAGAATTAAGTTTCCAGTGCTATCTATAATTTATCAGTTTTAAAATCTATTTTTACGTGACCTTTGTAAACTTCGTGAATTTGGGTTTGTTTATTTTATTTTTGCTTCATGCTGAGTTGTTTTCCCTTCTTTGCAGTTTTGTGCTCTTAACGTTAATTCTCAAGCCAGTCATCTAAACTCTCCACTGGCAAATTTAGCTATGTCGGAAAAGTGGCCTATGTTCCATGTGCTGCCTTTGAAATATGAGCATTGTAACATGACTTCACATTGCGTGAGTGTCCCAACCAAATTCAGGCTGAGGAATACAGACACGCCACAGACAGTCCTTTCATCCCAGCTCTCTTCAAAACTGACATAAATTATTGCTGCTGGATGTATTGCCAGGAGCCTGGGGGCAATTTCCATGTTTAGGAGAATTTGGAGGGTATCCTATACCACCCTACTGGCTCAACTAGCTAATACCCTCTCCTCTCTGTCTCAGCCCTTCCATGAAACATGGCAGTGGAATTACACAGCGGTATCCGCCCCATTGCAACAAAGCAATAATTGTACTATTTGAAGGCTGAGTAAGATGTACCATAGATATCAGAGACGTGAGACAGAAGGGGGAAGTTAAACCACTTCAAAACTACTTTTAGAATTTCAGGCTGTGTAGAAAGTACCCCGAAACTGAGAGTGAAACCTCAATCTCTCATAAATTCATCTTTGAAGCTCAAAGTTGGTGGGAAGGCTGACTATGAAAGCACAGCCCTATGCTTTCATGAATAGCAAATTTAAGTAATTTCCCCCAAATTTCCTGCATTTGCTTTGCTTTAAATCACTGTGACTGCCCTGAATATCTCCCTCATCTTCTCTTTATTTCCTTTATCGCGACACCTTCATTCCTCTGAGTTAGGTCTTACAAATAAACTGAGATTTGACTTTCAACACAATATACCATGACCGAGCCTCATGCAAGGCTGTCTGTGCAACAGGGAAATGGAAGTGTCTCCAGTCTTGTCCATCCTTTCCTTATGCAAAGTAATTATCTCCAGCTGGGCCAAGTTGATTGAGCAAATGCTCAGTTTCCACATGATTTTTCTGCAGCACCATAATGAATGTAATTCTTTGATGGAAGAAAGAAGCTTCATGAAACACACTGTGTAAGGATTTGAAGTTGGAGCTGGAAACATGGGGTGCTTTGTTCTTAGTACAACTGCTTCACCTAAAACATTTCTCCATTTCGAAGGATCTGTCTTTTCTCTTCCAGCCACAACCCTCAAGCTACAATAACAGGCTCGTGATTTTTTTAGATGCCAAAGTTATGAATACTCTTTTATGAATATATTCCTTTGAACTCATTTCTCTTGAAGAAGAAAAATAGCACTATGTATTGCAGGGTTGACAGTAATAGACAAAACATATAAACTCTTAGGGGCAGTAAAACGCTCCAAAATGCACACAGAAAAATTCCAAATGCAACATAATGTTTATGGAGCACTGCCTTAGAAGTTATAATTTCTAAAAGGTAATATTTCTGACTAGCATGAATTATACAGAACATATTTTAGAGATTAATGTCAAGGCTAATACCCTAAAATGTCTCGCTTTGGGGCATCATGATTGCTTTCCCTATATTAGTGTGAACTCTTAGTAAATACAATTTTAGGATGTGCCTTTTCGAAGGAAGGTAACCTTCATTAGATTAAGCTGCTTATGCTTTTATTTTTCCTTTTATCCCATTTCAACATATACTCCAACCTCCTCTAAAAATAATTCAACTCATGCCAACTCCACAGATTATTGCAGATCTCCTATTAATTTCATTCTGCCTCAAAAGGAGCTTATCATTTGGGCTTATAATTATATATGCAGTACTGTCAACTAATGTCTAAGTTCCTTATCAAAACTTCATTTCATTCTGCTTTAATATCATCAGTTAAACCATTTATTTTCTCAAATTAAAAAAATATATATGTTTTCCCTGAACCCCTTTCAAATGTTTTCTCTCATCCAAAAGTTAATCCGAAAAACTCAGCTCCCTTTAATCCTGCTTTGTGGCTTAGATTCTTTAGCCCTGGAACCACTCATATAGATTTCTGTTATACCCATGCTAATGCAAAAATAGCTTTTGCTATGGCAGAGAAATAATTCTGCATGGAAATGATGTGCCTCTGAAGCCTAACATTGTCAGGTGAATCATGTCAATAATGATTTAAGAATGTTTCCCCAGATTGAGGAAATGACATATAAATATTTCACGATACAAGTAATGCTTTGCATTTGGCACTAAGAATATTCTGCAAAGTTCTTTTCATGTACAGAGGCAATATTCTATAGTGTTTCAGAGCATGAGCTTTAGAGCCAGACTGCTCGGGTTCAAATCCCACTGTTACCACTGACTAGCTACATGACCTTGAAGAACACACTTAACTACTCTGAGCATCATAAAATGCAGTTAATAATTCCACGTACCTCATAGGATTGCTGTGATAATTAAGTTGGTAAAAACACATAAAGCAGTTATGACACTGTCTGGCACAGAGTTAAGTGAAGCTCTTACTATTATTAACTCACAAAGGCACAACATCCCTTTATAATACTTTAAAAGCAGGTTTGTAAAATAAAGAGAAATCCTAGAAAAATCAAATTTTGTAAAATTTACCAACATGAAATTACAGACAGATAATGTTATTACTGTGCAAAAAACACAATGTATATAATTCTGGCTATATTCTTTTACATAATTATACATAGTCATATAGATAAAACTATATTTATTTTTTTCTTACCTGGAAAGTATGTTTTATTTAGCAAGTCAAGCACTTTCCCAATAACTTCCACTGTCATTGAACTTAAAGCTGCCATTACTTCCCCACTCAGCTTGTCTGACTCACTCTCTACCCAGCCCCAGCACATTAATTCAGTGGGTATTTACCAAATATCTCCTCTGAAAGAGAAACACACAGAAAACAGTGGCCCCAACTACCTTCTTCCATTCGGTAGGCTCAATTTCCTCATTGTTTAGTTGACCAAGTTTGTATTTCTAGACAATTGCTTCCTATAGCTAAATACAACCCATGTATGCCTATGTATTTCTAAAAGAAAAAAAAATAGGCTATAAATAATTAATCAAACTTGAATATGATATAATTTACCTGCACAAAAATTATCATAACTACAGTGCTACTATTGTGTTATCTTAATATTGACTCTAGAGGTCACACTCAACAGTCTTTTTCTGTCTTCATCTCAACCCAAGACCAAAACAGTAAATACATATCTGATAATTACATAATTTAACAAGGAAAAAAAAAGGCCAAAAAATTGTGGACACAATTTGATTATATCTATATAAGAAAAATATGCATTAAAAAAAAGTGAAGAAAAAAAACAAAAAGCTAATGGTGCTTCTAATAATATAATGGGATTATAGTTTTCTTCTTTTCTCCACTTTCCAATGTTTTTGGTATTTTTACAATAAAATGTTAAATTTGTTAAAACTTTTTAATAAAACTCTATAAAAAGTGGACTATGCATTAAGTTATATAATTCTTCATTTATACAGATAAAAAGAAATTCATATATATATATAAAAGAAATAATATGCATTTATAAAAGAAAGTCACAACATGTCATTTAATTCTGATTTTTAATTTCCATGAAATTAACCCTACATAGATTTCTCAAAGCAACTTGAGAGCCTTCAAACTACATCTGTTTTATGTTATTTGTAATAGACTCCCAAGTATGAAAAATCATAAAACTAAGAATACATATTGCACACCACCATCACATTTAAATACTGTTTAGAAAACTATGATATTGAATAAGTGAATCTGATTTTACTTCATAATTTTTATCTAAAGGAATTTTTTTAAGATATTTATTTTCTGAGGTTTTTTTTTTTTACACGTTCCCTTTTTCAATCTCTAGCTGAAAATTAATGAGCAATTTAGGGCAAAATATTCTAGGACTCATTGATCACATATGCAAAGACACCTACAGAATGAATCTATAGGATAGAAGTTTTCACACAGCATTTGTCTGGAGTCAGATTATGTTGAATGATGCCTTGACTTTTGAATTTGATGCTAGAAGCAATTACCATAAACTAAATCAGAATGTTACAAATGAAGATATTCCGACACAAAGACTTGTAAGATTTTGTTTAGATTGTCAATGGTTGATTCATCCAAATTTTCTTCATTGTCATCCATGGTATGCCAGACTTCAGGAAAAGGAGATGGTATCAGATGTAGAATTGGAACACCTAATAAGAAAGAACCCACTTGTCATTAAGTGCATTATTCCCAGTGAGTAAATTAGAAAGTGTTATTCTTCAAGCTAAGGGAGCTCTATACCGTATAAAGACAACTGATAATTCATCATCTTCTGTATACTTCCTTATATATTACCACTTGTACTCCAAAATCATTCATTCATTAAGCAAATATTAATTAATTCAGTAAATAATTATAAAGCACCTACTATATACCAGTTCCTGTTCTAGGAGTTGAGGTTTCATTAGTGAAAAGGCAAATGGAGCCCATATGGAGCTTACATTCCAATGGAGAAAGAAGTAAGTAAACAAATATAAAACATAATTTTAGGATGTGATAAGGGTTATTAAGAGTAATAAAACAAGATAAGAGTAAAGAGCATGAGAGGCAGGCAGCAGGACCAAGAGAGGAGGTATTTAAAGTCAGGGAAGGCCTCTTTGAGAAGCTAATATTTAAATAGAGACACACACCAAAGCAAAAGCAAGCCATGCAAAGATCTGAGATGAGCATTCCAGGCAGCAGTATTAGCAAGTACAAACATCCTGAGATAGGAGTGTGCTTGGCCTGCTTGAAGAACAGCAAGAACACCAATGTGGCTGGTCAGAGCAACAGCTGAAGAGAGAGGTAGGAGAGAAGAAGGAGAGAAGAGAAAGAAGAGAAGAGAGTCTGAAAATGAAGGCCCTCGTTGGTCATGGTAAAGACTTTGGGTGTTACTCCATGCAATGGCAAGCCACTAGAGATTTTAAAAAGGAAAGTAGCATAACTTGATTTACATTTTTAAAAGATAACTCTAATTCCTATGCAAAGAATAGTGAAGCAAGAGCAAAATCTGGAGACCAATTGGGAATCTACTGCAAGAATCCTTGGGTTTATTCAGATTTCTACCATCTTGACACAATGAATATTACTACCAGAGTTACACAAAGTATAAGAATACAATCTAACTCCATGAAGGGGAAGGCAAGATGTCAGTGGGATATGAGATTTCATAAATATTTTAAGTGTAGGAAAAAAATTAAAATGTCCTCAAAGATTTGGAATGACTTTCATAAGAAAATAGAAGCCATGAGATGATATGATCAATGATTCTAATTAATCGATTAATTTAATTTAATGGTTCTTCACACTTCTAGCTTGTTGCAAAATGGAGGGAATAGGAATTATCACCAAGGCCTGGTGCTGCATATCAGTATTACACTTAGATGCCACCTTGACGACCTAAAACTGAATATGTGTGAGACATGGAAGTGGGACACAGGGAAAGAGCAGAATTAAAGACAACTACCAGGAGTCTGATTTGAGTAATTGGTAAATGTAGACCATTTACTGAGAAACATAAGACCGGAAGAGGAGCACTTACTTTCAGGCCCATCATTCCTCCTTTTCAATGAACAATGGTGGGCTCTGTCATTTCATTTGATAACCTGAAGAGAGTGGCCTGGTAAGGGCATTAAAGCATAAAGTGTTGCATCTGAATCATACCTAGCATCAACAAAGATCAAGTGAGGGAGTGTCTACACTTCCCTCGCATTCAATTTGGTTTAAGTATCTGACTTCTAGCTTACAGGCACATAATCAGAAGACACATATTGGTGAAAGCTTATTTACAGCACAATATATATATTTCTTTTTTAAAGATAGGCTCTCATTCAAATTAGTTTCATTATCTGTTTTTAGATCATTTAAAATTTAGATTGGTTCAGATAATTAATATATAAATTTAGTGCAGTCAGTCTTTAAAGAAGAATGGTTTTACTGATTAACAATGTACCGATTATCATTCATATTTAATTTTCTTCTCAAACATATGCAGCAATTAAAGACCTGGAAAGTTTCACTGCTGAAGAGAGTTATCCGATGGCACCAGAAAGCTACATAAGGTTTGGGAATAAGCCAAGGCTCAAAACATTGATAAGATAAGATGATATTCTCATAAGAGTGAATAAGTGATATATAGTCTTGGAATTTAAAAATGCACATAAAATATAATAAATACAATAGATAAAAAATGCACATGGCCAGGCACGCACGCACGCACACACACACACACACACCCATACACACACACACACACACACATTACCTCTTCTTAAAAATGGAATATGGTCATCCTGAATTATACTTCCGCGCACACACACACACACACACACACACACATACACACACACACACATTACCTCTTCTTAAAAATGGAATATGGTCATCCTGAATTATACTTCCATAACCATAATTCTGGAAGTACTGCCTCTCCCAAGAGTGATCTTTGAGCAAACCCAGTTCATGGAGTTCATATTCTGCAGATGACAATTAGACAGTAGTTGAACATCTATTTTTACCTGGTCAAGACTCAGAATGCATCCTTCTTTAAGAAATTTGAAATCTCAGCATATGGCCATCATTTTAAAAATATTACACAGCAGTGAGTACAGTCACACCCAACGAACATCTGGGCTGAACTTGGGTGTGTACATTTGGAGAAGAGTCACACATGGCACTTACACGTGAGACCATCCTTAGAGGTAGAAACTCAACAGAAAAATGGAGAGATGGAGAATGAGAAAACCAGAGGAAAATGGGAGAAAAATTCAGATGAGATGCTTATAGTTCCAAGATGCTGCATGAAGAATGCCTTTAGAGGAGATGTGCAGCTTAAAAGGGGGAATACTCAAACAGAACAGGGATAAAGTATATCAAGTGGCCACTATGGAAAAGGGATACCTATTGTGACCTATATCAGCAGTTCTCAAAGTGTGGTCCCTGACCAGCAGCAGCAGCAGCATCTGAGAACATGTTAGAAATGCAAATTATCTGGTCCCATATCGACCTACTGAATCAGAAATTCTGGAGGTGGAGCCCCAGCAATGTGTGTCATAACAAGCCCTCCAGGTAATTCTGATGCACACTAAAGTTTGAGAACCACTGGCCTGCATTTTATCACTTTTGTCACCTTATAACCTAAAACCCCTATTATGTGTTACAAGATGACAAGAGATCACAAGAAGGTCATAAGACAACCAAATGAAACTACCTAGCATAGGTGTTTATTTTTTTAATTGCTAAATTTAAAGGGTAAAACTAGGCCAACTGGTAAGCAAACATATGTAATATGATTTTAGGAACATTGATGAAGCCCTAACCACCAACAAAAACAATAATTTCTGACTGCTCATTGATACTTATAATTCCTCTACCATAGGATACAACTTTTCCTTATATAATTAGAGATATGATTTGAAGCATAAATACCACTAGGAAAGGGAGCACAATGGGTTAAAATTGCATTAAGGTGCAAGTTATTGATATATGTTTACTCCAGTACAAGAAATTTTAAAAAGTGCACAAAATGCTTAAAAGAAGGCCAAACCCAATTTCTTGAGGCTACTATCAAAGTAAGGAAAACGTGTTGCAAGCAAGTGGCCCAAGAAGTTTATATTAATAATACCATAACAGCAATTCTTTCAAACTAGGAATTGAAATTTGCCAAAGATGTGCATCTGAAGTTCAGGTAGAAGTTTCTTTCATAAGATCTAGATCTGGATAACTGGCAAATTCTTAACTCATGGCAAAAGCGTGAGTTAAGATGGCAGTGCTTTTTCCACTCTTAGAAGTAACACAATTCTGTCTTGTTCCAGGAAGTTTGTGTGGCTAGAAAGGAATTTCTAGCATGAAGTTCCTGCCTCAAAAGCAGCCTCCTGGCCTGGATTCTATAATAAAGCTCTATCTCATTTTCATCTTTCCCTTGATGTCTAAAGGGTTTGTTTTTGTTTTGTTTTGCTTTGTTTTGGGTGGGGTGGGAGAGTATGAAGGGAAGAAGTAATTCTTCTTTTCCCTCTCCAAGCCCCAGGCCTCTCTTGAGCCACAGATATCTATGTTTCTTGGCCTGGCCTGACCTGGTCTGGACTAGTCTATTCCCATTTATTTGACTCTAACTCTCCTTTTAAATGGCTCTTAAAGGATCTGGCTTTCTATTCATCCTGATCTCTTACTTCTTTGGAAAAGACAGTGAGTGTACTAGATTTAAAACAAAATAATGCCTGGATAAGGTAGAAAAACAGAAGATGACAAAGACAGAGATGGAAAAGAAAGAAAAATAAAGATTTATTTTGGTATCATTGTAATGACATAATATTCACCATTAGCCAACATACTTTGCTGAGTAAAGTTTTCCCTAGAAATGCATTGCATATGCTTCAAACAGGACTCTGGGAAAATATTCCAAACCATTTCTAAGGATATGCAAACATGAATATAGTTTTGTTTTGTTTTGGTTTGGTTTGGTTTTGAAATATATTTATTGGTACAGAAATTGTAATATGGTGCTCAGTGGAAAAGCTATGGCACCATAGTTATCTTTGAGTTGTTAATTTACATGAGATTTTATTATTTTATTTGTAATTATCAAATGGTCTATGATGAACATGTATTGATTTCATCATCAGAAACTACAATTATTGGTTATAAACAATCTCCTTCAGTGTCTGGTCCTTCCTACTTTTTCTGACCACCACCCACTGCTTCAGAAATGCCATCTTCTGGGCCGGCCCGGTGGCGCACTGGATAGTGCGCCGCTTGGGAAGTGCGGCGGCGCTCCCGCCCGAGGGTTCGGATCCCACATACAGACCGGTTCCCGCTCGCTGGCTGAGCGAGGCGCGGGAGCAACACTGAGGGTTGCGGTCCCGTTGCCGGTCCCGGCCCAGTGCGGGGGCAACACTGAGGGTTGCAATCCGTTGCCGGACACGGAAAAAGACAAAAAAAAAAAAAGAAATGCCATCTTCTAATCCCATTCATGAAATGTAGTCTTTTCTGTTTCCATTTCAGAATATAGTTTCATGCAGGAAAATAAACTAGGCCTACTAAAAGAGCTGAATAGGAATAATAAACTAATCGATAAAGTAAGAAAAAAAAGCCAGTATATTATATGTTCAAATCATACACTTAACTATAAATTTTGAATTTTAAAATGTAGTGTTTGTTAGTAGGAAGAAACCATGTTTTACTCTTTAAAATAGTAGTGCTTACCAATGGCTTGAAGTCTATCAAACCATCTGGCAGAGTTTGGAAAAAAATTGGGAAATGTTGGGTTTGGAGCTCCAATTAAATCCAATAAGACCAATAAATCCTAAGGGAGAAAGAATACTGTTTAATCAATATCACCAAAACATGTTTCATATTCATCAATAAAGAAAAACAATTTCTCAAAACTAACTGCGTTTTAGTAACCAAGAATAATATTGGGAACTGTGTAAATGAACAAAAAGTTTAATAACATTGTATGCTAATTATTTTAGAGAACTTCTTAAATCTTTCTTATGCAATGTGGACAAATGGCAGATTGTTGACTCTTCATGTAAATAATCACAGAGGGACATCACTAAGGATAAATTAGAAAGAAGACATTTGGATAAATATTTAATACGTTAAAAAAGATGCATTTACTTTATTTTCAGATAGGAATCCAAGCCTTTTTGATCTTCTGTTCCATTCTAATTAGCCATATTATTCTTAATCTATAATTATACAACTTTCTATAGGAGAGTAAGTATGTATTGATCAAGCATCATCTGAGAACAATTCCTTGTATAGGAGTTATATGACTATACTGTGTCTGTGGATTTCCATTTCTTTGTGCATCAAACGAAGAGCTCAAACTAGCTGATCTCCAAAGGTCTCTTCTGGTTATAAGCCTCTGTAATTAAACCAGTGTTCCTTCACTTGGCTGAGCCACAAAACAAGCAGGCTTGAGGACTCCCTAAAGACTGACCCCTAGATTAAAACGTCCTGATTTATGTAAGTGAAATAATGTATGGGTAAATAGCTGGCATAGATCCTGACACATAGTAGATCAATTTTTTCAGAGTCTATGATTTTAAAGACACAGTATGTATAAACTCATGAATGACAAATATATTCACTGAAAAAAAAAGGATTTTTGAAATAGAAACATATTCACAAGGTTGGATAAACTACTAAGAGTTTGTTTCTGGGGAAAACAGTCTTAACTATCACTGTGGATTCACATATTTGGACTGATAAATGAAAACCTTTATTCTTACTACTGATCAACCAGGTCTCTTCTCCTTCTCTGAACCCTTTTTAGCCTCTTGGGCATAAGTTAAGAATGAGGTGTCGAACATATTCCCTTGACCCATTCTGAGCTTCCAGTGGACAGTGGGAGGGAGAGAATGGCAGTAGGAAGTATGTTAGATGCAAAGAAGGCATTAAATATGGCTATTTGGACCCACAGTGTAAATATCAATGAAAAGGCAAAGGACAAGCATGAGTGGGGGGTTAGAAATAAGCTATCAGTTCACAGACATGGTGCAGGTCAGAAATACACGAAGGCCCTGGGAAGAATGAAGCCTCAACGGTAGCATGAAGTTCCAAGCTGGTGTTAGTGAGGACTCAGGGATGGGGCAAAGGTTAAATATGAGAAGAGAGTCAGGGTAGGGGAAGGATTTGGGAGTGGGACGAGGGATTAGGGATGGAGTGTGGACCAGGAATGGAGATAAAAATAAGGCTTTGTGTTACACCCCTTATTAAATAAGGTTTCAAGGCAGCATCAAAATGTGCCTACCCTCATATCAAAAATGCCATATCAAAATCAACACATAAAAATGTCATATACGTGCTGGAGTCATTATAATACTTTAAAGCCACGGAGGAAATTCTTCACTCCTATCCCACACCTACTCCATTTCCCAGGACTTAATGTTCCTCAGACGTTAGAGAGGTCTCAAAGAAGGGATTTGCTCTCTCCACCCCTGTATGGTACTGGAGGAATATGCTCCCATTGGATGAAACTGGATCTGAAGTTTCCTTAACCTGATTTTTTACATTGTTTTAATTAAGCTCAGTCAAACCTGGCTTCTAACCCAGAATCTTTTTTTTTTTTTTTTTTTTTCCCCCTGGGATTCCCCAAAAACCCAGTTCCTCAGACGTTAGAGAGGTCTCAAAGAAGGGATTTGCTCTCTCCACCCCTGTATGGTACTGGAGGAATATGCTCCCATTGGATGAAACTGGATCTGAAGTTTCCTTAACCTGATTTTTTACATTGTTTTAATTAAGCTCAGTCAAACCTGGCTTCTAACCCAGAATTTTTTTTTTTTTTTTTTTTTTCGCCCTGGGATTCCTCAAAAACCCAATGTCTGCCAAGGAATGTTCTGTTATAAACACTCTGCTCCATGGATGCCGTGGCATTTTTAGAACTTTACTTGGCCTTAGCAACCTTTTCCTTGGAGGCAGAGCCTGCAGCCACAGCACCATGGAAATTACCCAGACTAACCATGCCATGCAGTTGGTTGGTGCCTCTTGCTCCAGGTGGGTGTGGGGTCGATGCCATCTTCAGAGCTAAGTGCCGTGACCCATACAGAGAATCTTGAGGAGACCAGTGAAGAAAAGCCTCTTCCCCATCAAAGAAAATTAGCTGAAGTGAGAGATCTGGCTTGGAGTCTGAAATATTCTGGTAAAAAGAACAATAAAAAGACAGCAAACAGTGTTGTGATGATTAAAAATAGCAAGCTTTTCTCTGAACTGGGCAAAAAGATAGATGTGCCATGAAAAAAGGAAGATACCAAAGCAAGTGAAACTATGCCAAAATTTACTTCACACCACTTCCTCTCCAAAAATCATCACACCTCCCACAATCTTCACACATGTAAATCTTACTTCTTCCACCCCCTCTAAAAATAGAAGTATTATATTTCTTTTCTTACTCCTCAGAGGACGTTGAAACTATGGAAGTGCTATGATGAACGGTGTGAAACACCACCCAGATCCCCTCCAGAAGGAAGTATTGCCTCAGCTGCTGTGAGAGCTGTCAGCCACCTGAGTGACTGCCTGGGCTGCACCTCCTCCTGGGACTATCCCACAGCCAATGACTGACATACACAGGTACTGGGGCTCTCTAAAGGACCATTGTACCTCCAGAGCCCCCTGGGGCTTGGCTGAGGCTGCTGTTGAACCTGCACTGCAGCTGAGCTTCTCCCTCTGCCTAATTCCATTTCTTTCTCCTCCCTGCCACCAGTGTTGATTCAAGACTACACCCTAATAAATTACCTGAATGCTAAACTCCACATCAGAGTGTGCTTCCTCAGAAACAACCACATATCTTTCTTGCTTCTCACCTTATTTAAGTCTGCAACTTTTCATTGAGTCTAGGTTCAAGAACCTGCCCTAGGAATGCTACAGGAACACAAAGAATGATAACTATAGCCTTTCCCTTGAGAGAACCTATCCTTAAGTTGGATTAGGGAGACAAAAAATAAATTCATGAGCATGGCAAAATGTGCCATAGGCCACAAGTAACATAAAAGTCCTCTGGAAATTGGATGCAATGAGAGATGGCATCCTCGGGGTTCAAGGAAGGTTTGATGGAAGAGACGGTATTTGAGCAGTGGAATTGAGAAGGTTGAATAGGGTTCTGATCGATTTTACCTTTTCCACTGTCTGACAACAACCCTCACCTTTCAGATCAGTCCTGGTACTTCAGCCCCCACAATCCTTCAACCCACTGAAATCCCTAACCTATTGAATCTTTTACCTCGTCACAGTCCTTCACCACCATAATGTTCTCATTTCACTTCATATTTAGCTTAAGTTTTAGCCAATCACTCTAATCACTCCCTTGCATATACCTTCAGCTCCCTGTCTCTCTCTGCCTTGGTCAAATTCTCATGGCAAACACATAACATTAAGTCCAACTGTCTGCCTACATTGTGCCAGCACTTATGCAACTGAACCTGGTTAAAGGAAAATATATAACCACACTGTCTGGTCTTACTTAAAATCCATGACCACAAACCTCAAGTTAGCCTTTTTGTATTGACTGGCAGTCATACTGTATTTTCTTAGTTCATTCACTCTCACACTCTTCCAGAACTTCACATTCCTCCCCTCCCTAACTTGCAACACCTCACCCATCCTCATTCCCAATTGATAATCTTGATTTCTTCTGGCCATGCTCGTATTAGATGCCAGTCTCTCCACTTGTGCACTAAATCCTATCCCCTCTCATCTGCTCAAGGACATCACTCTAGCAAATACCATTTGTCTCCTACATTATCAACTTTTCTATCTCTGCTAGATAATTCCCATCAGTCTGCAAACATGTGGTTGCTTCTCTCATGTTAAAATGTTTGACGCCACTATCTCCACCAACTGCTGCCTCATTTTTTTTTTTTATCCCATTTGTAGGAAAACTTCTTGAAAGAGTTGTCTACTCACACTGTCTCCCATTCCTCTTCTTAAACCACCCCAGTCAGGCTTCATGTCAACCATCTACTGAAATTGCTCTTGTCAAAAACACCAATGACCTCAACATTGCAAAGTCCAATGGTCAACTGTCTGTCTTCATCTTTCTTGACTTGTTGTCAGCATTTGACAATACTGATCACTCTCTCTTGCTCTCTTCATTTGGCTCCTCGGACAACATATTCCTCCTACCTCAGTCAACACTGATGGTTCTCTTGATTTCCCTTCCCTCTTAATGCTGGAGAGCCCCAGGGCTTGCTCCTTGGTTCTCTTCTCTTCCCTGTCCACACTCTGTCCCTTGATATCTGTTCTTGATGCTTTAAATTATATATATAAGTGTACGTATATATGTGTGTGCGTGTACATATATACAATACAAACACATACACACACACACATATCAACAATTCCAAAAAAATATATCTCCAGCCCTGATTTCAGACCCACATATTAAATTGCCAAATGAACAATCTCCACACAGATCTTTAATGGACATTTCAAACATAAAGTGCCAAAATTCAACTCCTGATGTTTTTCCTGAAACTACATTACCAACAGTCTTCCGCAACTAAATTGATGGCAACACCACCTTTGCAGTTACTCAAACCAAAACCATGGGCTGGCGTGCCCTCTCTCTCTCTCTCTCTCTCGCTCTCTCTCTCTCTCTCTCTCGCTCTCTCTCTCTCTCTCTCTCGCTCTCTCTCTCTCTCTCTCTCGCTCTCTCTCTCTCTCTCTCTCGCTCTCTCTCTCTCTCTCTCTCGCTCTCTCTCTCTCTCTCTCTCGCTCTCTCTCTCTCTCTCTCTCGCTCTCTCTCTCTCTCTCTCTCGCTCTCTCTCTCTCTCTCTCTCGCTCTCTCTCTCTCTCTCTCTCGCTCTCTCTCTCTCTCTCTCTCTCTCTCTCTCTCTCTCTCTCTCTCTCTCTCCCCCCCCATATATATATGCACACACACACGCACAAATCCAGTTCATCCTTCCTCTGCAAACCTATTTCCCACCATTCCTCACCACATGCCTCTCTTTTCCATTGCTTCATTTTCTTTTAGCTTCATATATCTCCACAATTACGTGGTCAAACTTTCCAGATGCTGTGGCAATTTTGCTTCTCATGTGTCTGTCTAGTTCTGTTTTTTGTGGCTGTAATCCTCCCAGAGCCTCTCCTTTGGCTTGCTTCAGCCTGGCTGGCTACTCGCCAACCCTGCTGCCCACCTCTTACCTGAGGTCTCCCCTCACTATCACCTTCGGGACTCCCTCTGCCTCTCCTATACGGGATTCCCAGGGACCCAAATCCCATGACTTCCTTGATTTGTTCCTTGATTTTGCTGGAGAATATCTTAAGTAACTTCTAAAAATGAAACAGTACATGGGGGTGAAAATGATTGAGACTTTACATGTCTGAAAATGTCTTCATTCTACTCTCACATGTGATTTGGCTGGGTATGAGGATTCTGAGTTGCAAATTATTTTTATTTAAAATACTTAAGGCACATTTTCATTACTTGCTTGCTCCTGAGGTTTCTATTGAGAAATCTAATACCATTTTCATTCCCAATACTTTTTATATGACCTATTGTAATTCCTGGAATGATCCCCCAGAAGTAATAATCATCTCTTTTGTTGTCATTCCTCTGTAGAAAAGATATTTCTTCTACATTAGTATCCAACTGTTTTACTGATTTTTTTATTTTGAAAATAGAATTTTTAATTTCCAAAAGCCCTTTCTTATTCTGTGGTTGTTCTGTTACTATAGCATTCTGTTTTTATTTCATGGATATAACTTCTCCTCTTATCTCTGTAAGGATATTAAAAATTGTGTCCTTTAACTTATCTTCTGCTCCTTGTACTCTATTTCCATATACTTCATTTTTCAATTTGTATTATTTGTGTTGCTTCTTTCATACTGGAGACTGTCCTCAAATGTCTGGTCCTCCATTGAGTTCATTCACATTAAAGAATAAGGTACTAAAATGCTGGTAGGAGACACAAATGGGTTGGTTTTGCTGGAGGGCAACCTGGTACCCCATCAGTGTTTTCATTGAGGACCTCCACATGCCACTGTCTGTGAATCTTGTCTGTGAGGTGGTTCACATTCTCTGGAGAAGATTCCCCCAGTTTCCTACCTGACAGGTATCAGCTGGCTGCCAGCTTTCTGGTGCTAGAAATGGGAGGAAGACTGGAGATCTCACTGTCCAATATGTAGACTTTCACCTAATCTCCCTGACTTCCATGGGGGCCTCACCGCTGCCCTCTGGAATACCTGGTATTCCCAAGTTCAGAACCCTCATGGTTCAATTTCTCTAGAAAAATATTCTCTCATCTGCTGCAGAGGTACATGTGGGGCACTCACCTTCCTGCCTGGTGTGGGTTGGAAATCTGTATATTTAAGTGCTCCTTATGCAGACTTTTAAACACTCTCCACTCCATCTACTGCCTCACCTCTGCCTTCCTGAGCATATCATACCTCCAATCCCTGAGCCTTTCCAGGATTCTGGAGGAGACCAGCTGGCTTCTTCCATTTCCTTCCCTCTCCAGGGCAGTGTGACTTCTCTCCATTCTGAGAGGTCATTTGCCATTTCTTCATCTACCTCTGTCTTCATTTTGTGGTTCCCGTTAACAGATGTTTTCTAGTTTCTTCAAAAATGGAGTTTTTCTGATTGTCTTAAGGGTAATTTCATAAAAAAGGAGAAAAATGCCTTTATCATCTTAAAACTAAGTTATTTTTGTATGCTAATCATTTCAATTGTCTTAATATTGCTCTTTAATTAGACCATAAGAAAAGGAAAGTTTATTTTACTTTGAATCCCTCACAACTCTTAACAGCATTAAGCCAAGCATGTGTTTGTGCAATACCCATGCACTCAGGGTTTTAAGAAGGAAGCATAAGGGCTGGCCCAGTGGCGCACTGGAGAGTGCGCCGCTTGGGAGCGCAGCGGTGCTCCCGCTGAGGGTTCGGATCCCATGTGGAGACCGGTTCCCGCTCACTGGCTGAGCACGGTGCGGGCGCAACACCGAGGGTTGCGATCCCGTTGCCGGTCCCCGGTACGAACGCGACACCAAGGGTTGCGATCCCGTTACCGGTCAGTAAAAAAGACAAAAAGGAAAAAAAAAAAAAAAGAAGGAAGCATAAGTAATTAAACATTTTCTCACTGGCAAAAGGTGTAAGGTGTATACTTCAGCAGTGACTTCTAAGCATCCAGTGTTCCAAAGGCCTCGA